TATGTGTCAAAAGATGAGATTCTCGAAATGCAGAAGAAATTACATCAACGATTTGCTAACGTCAAAGACATTCCAGGAACTCGAGATTACCACTGTTACATACCGATTTCAACTGGTAGCATGATGGTCAAACTTTTTTCATCCTCACAACAGGCTGAGACATTCAAATTAGCCGATGATTTACTGTCACTCGAATCTGTTAAATCTGAAGTAATTATCATTCATCAAGGGAAATGGTGGGTGGGTTACATTTTGAATAGAAATCATAATTCTAATGAATTCTCTGCATTCTTTAATGGAATCGTGTGGCCCCTCGTCGACTTATAAATATCCCACTGTACAAAAAACAATGACTGCACCATTTGAAAAAATTCTCTGTGAAGTAGATAATTTGAAAAGATTCAGATCCAACAAGTTCACAATTCCTAAACGAGTTGAAAATGCAATTGTTCGGAAATTTCTCGATTACCAAAAAACTTAACTGGAGGATTGATGAAAAATATATGAAATTGTATGATTCCAGGAATAATCAACATGTTTGTTTAAGGAATTTTGTGTTATTATTTCAACAGTAATTAGAAATGAATTTAATCTTTCAGGTATCTTATCTGATGATTACCAAAAAAGCATACCAAGGAGGGATCATGGGAAGAATAATGATCCTAGATCCTTCTACTTACCAATTCTCAATGAAAAGTTCACTCATTTGTGAGATAATTGAGTCATTCAACGCAATTTTTCATCATTTTCAGTGATTTGCTTCTTTAAAAAATTCATATCTGCCAAACTACTGCAAAATAGTAATTTTTTTTTGCCNGGGAAGAATAATGATCCTAGATCCTTCTACTTACCAATTCTCAATGAAAAGTTCACTCATTTGTGAGATAATTGAGTCATTCAACGCAATTTTTCATCATTTTCAGTGATTTGCTTCTTTAAAAAATTCATATCTGCCAAACTACTGCAAAATAGTAATTTTTTTTTGCCCCAAAATTTTCGTCATTTTATTGATGATTTTTGGTAAAAATTTCAGATTAAAAAAAAAAAGGTTTTTGAGAAAATGGCGACTGAAAAAAAAGACGTTTTGACGTATAAAGCGCGTAAAATTGGATGGAATGCAGCGAGTGGACGTATGAAAAAATCGAATAAAAATTTTCTGTACGGATTGCGTATAGAATTTCTATAAGTTTTTCGCATATGATATTCGGATATTTCTATACGGATATTTTTTATACAAATTATTTCTATACGATTTCTATAGGTTTGATCCTATACGACCCACTGCCACATGTGTAGAACCATTTCGTATGGAGTTGCGACATTTCTTTACGTTTTTCTCTGGAGCGTTTAGACATCTTTCGTATGGAAACGGAAATTTATGTAAAAATTTCTGTATGGAAATAATTCGTATAGAAAATATTTGTATAGAAATATCCGAATATCATATACGGAAATCCTATAGAATTTCTATACGCAATCCGTATAGAAAATTTCTATACGATTTTTTCATACGCATGACGTCTCATTTTGAAGGTTTCTTCATGTTCTTTGAGTCTGCTGAAAAGAATTTTGATAGCCTTGAAGGGGACTGGAATATTGGTCATAATTTGAAAATAAAATTTTTATCGAAAAAAATGGAAATTTTTGAAAAATCATAACTCCCGTCATTATCAATATTTAAAAAAAAAAAAAATCAAAATGTTTGTCTGATGCCCAACTTTCTAGAAAAAAATCGAGCAGAAAATCCCAGACATCAATTTCATTGGGTTTTGGATTTCACACGGATCTGCTCATAAGAAAAATAGTTATCAATGGAATAAGTATTCTAAAAAAATTCTCCATAAAATAAGAAATCAGTAAAAGCAGGACCAATGTTCTTGGCACGGAGTTTTTTCACTCACTGTCTGTATCAATCTAATCCTCCATCCTTTGATGCGCGCCAAGAACGTTGGTCCTGCCCCTACTGATTTTTTATTTCATAGACAATTTTTTTGTAATACTTATTCCATTCATAACCATTTTTCTCATAGAAACCTGATTGTGCACTATCACCATTTATTCAAAATTTCTGGCTTGGCTTCCTTTTTTATGTCTATATATTTTTCAAAAACTTGGACTTCCCAAAAGGAATCAAACAAAACTTTTTCTTGCCCCAGTTTTTTTACAAAAACATTTGTTTTTGTGTTTCTAGGCACATTTCATTATTTTTTTTCAAAATAAGCAAGGACTGTTTTTACATGCGGTGAATTTTTTTCTTTTCAATGCAATTTAACTCATTCATTTTTCATAAGATAGAACATTCAAGGGAAATCAACAGTTCTACTCCAGATTTATTGTCTCCACCGCATTTCAATTTTTAATCATTTATTAATAATTTCCTGACTTGATTTGGTTCCTCATTCAATTTTTGCTCTGATGATTCCTATGTGGATTGTATTTCTTGGAGAGATGAATTGATTTCCTTATAGGAATAGTCGAACAAAATGTTCACAAAGAATTCTTTTTAAAAACATCTGTTTTTGTTTTTTTTTTTTTCTAATAATATTAGGGAAACATTGGGTGGATTGGACGCTTCTGACTTCTTGTTTCAATATTTATAACTAAGGAACAAATTTATCGATTGAGCTCAGTCTAAGCTTATTACAAAGGGGCTGACTGTACTTTAATTTTTTTTAAATTCTATTTCATCAACACTTCAATAAGACATCATTTTGAAAAGGGTTCAAAGTGTCCATTTAATCCCACCGTCTCCTACTAATTTATCTTAAATAATCACAAAATTGTTTGCATTTCAGTGTCATTTAATTTAGAGAATTTTTTTCCACGGAATGAAAACATTTTCTGTTACACTCGGAGAAAAATAAATATTTTCGTTTCGAATTTAACTATTCACGGACATTTAATACTTGATCACACAATATTTTCGACACATCTCACTTTTGTCACATTTCCAAACATTAACCGATCACCTCACAAATAGTGATATAGATATGGCGGGATGAAATTCGAATTTTCGACGAGAGAAAATAAAATAGAACACCGAGTCGATTTTCCGTTTCATTCTAATAAGTGATTTAACGTGTAGAAGAACATTTCCCGTGGTTCTCCATAACAACATCACAACCCACATTCAAATGCACTGGTGGCAACACTTCAACATTGGATATGAGGCTCAGTTGGACCGGCGCTGCCAACGTTACAACTTGATTCTCCGACTTTATAATGTGAATCGCGAGAATGTGAATATCATCCCGTTGCTATGTGCGTATCTTTTTTACTGTTAATCCAAAAAATACCATAGTTGCACCGTTGAAAAGCTCATAGGCGATTTGTATAATGTAACTAACGACACTTTCCCGATTTGTCGTCCCGTTTTCATCATACCGAATGTAAATCATTTAGAGGTAGTGGAGGGGGAAGTTCTGTCGTGTATAGATACGCGGTGCGCTCGGCCTGATGTTTTGCTCAGTCGGTCAAAACTTCTTGGCCGATACGCTACCGCGTATCTCGATATATAGTTCTAATCAAGTTCTAAAAATTCATACCTTTTAAATTTGACTGGTCTGAATATTTAGTACGCATGCGCAGAGGGAAATGAGCAGCTAATAGTCAATTGAAGAAGAACAATACTTTCATGATGTGATACAGCACCCTTACAATTTGATTTTTTCAATAAAACCAAAATTCGTGAAATATTAAGAGAATATGCAAAAGGGATGATTAATATGACAAATATATATATATATATATATATATATATATAT